CATGACTTACAGCAGGATGCCGCTTTTGCGACCGGAATCGGCTAATCATTCTACAACGCAATGTCGATCGGACCAGACAGAGATGCTGCGTTGCCGAAGGCCTGCAGCAACAGGAGCACTCATACCATTTTCATACGTTTCATGGCGCCCGCCCGGCTTTTATTTGTAGGCAAGAGGCCCCCAACCAAAAATCGCAACATACTCTTTTTCCATGATGCTAGGGCCCCCCCCCTCCCCCTCAATGTATCTACCCCGACCCAGATCTAATGTTAAGGGGACTAATTCTGTTACGACCCGAGCATTTGGGGAGGGGTGATATATATATATATATTTGCGTTTTATTGAAACTCGTTTCAAAAACGTTGAAGATCGGATAAACAAACCCATTAACCAGTTTATTTTTGTTGTAACATCTAATTACATACTAATCAAAAAAGGTTTCAAGTCGCAACAAAGCCCAACACTAACCCAACTAAACTCGCGTTCAGATTGTATGTAAATTCCTTTGCAAAAACCCATTCGAAAACGATCCAAGCGCAGGAAATTAGGGAGTTGTGCTAGGACCTCCCCTAATTCAAAGGATCCGAACCGCGGTTAAGTGTAGTCTTGGCCCTGTCAAAAGCAGTCTTGGGGGCGGATTTCGAAATTTTGAATTCTGGGGAACCCGAATTGCATATTAGGGGGGATTTGGGAGGGGAAGGGATGGATTACCTGCCGGTAATCAAGGTTTGGACACTCATATTTGTGAGTGGGGATGTATTCAGCCCAACAGGATCGTTGGCGTGACTACAGTGTCAAACAAGTGAAAGATTGAAATGCGGCTTTTTCGACAAAAGCAACTCTGCTCATCAGAACATGTCAGACCTTATCGAGACAGCCCCACGCTTCTGCGATACTGTCAGCAGATTTCGTGATGGAACCGTACGCAGAACACTCCAGATTTTTCTGGACAAAGATGAAAAAAAAAGATGGGCTTCGTTATCCTTTGAAACCGCTTGGATAAGATTTTAAAGTATCAGCTATTCACGGAAACCAGTTCTGCTACACACGTGCGTCAGCAATTGATGAGATACATGAAGTCATAGCATCTCCAACACCATTCAACTGGCGTCAGCCGCCTTGCCCATGCGCAAAATTTGCAGGGCCAAAGTGAATGCAGGCATTAGAAAAACGCAGTCAAATTTTGATGCATCTCTGTTGTGCATTATCCCTTTACAGAAGATCTGACGAAGAGTCAGAAAACTATTAACAATGAGCTTTCATGCATCGGCCTCGGGCATATGAGTGGATCGTGCCAAGCAGCTTCCAATCGTTGCATATCACAAAATTCCGACAAGTTGGCAATGCCAAGAATTTGCGATTTGTGACTGCGTGATCCGTGACAGGAAGCCAACATGTTGGCAAACGAGCTCCGGTGTCACTTGTTGTCACTACAACAAAACGTGCCTTGGCCGAAGAATTGTTGCGCATGACTTGTGTGTATTACGTTAACACAGGCCATAGGCCACCATCCCAATTGAGAAAGAATGAGATGCTCAGGACCGGCGTTGGCAGGCTGTGATGCTTTGGCTTGCGTAACATTTTCCTGGTCGGCAGTATGGGTGCCGCTGCGTGAGGCAGAGATTGAGGACACGGAACGGAATGCAGACATCTTGCGCCAGGCCAGATCAAAACCCGCTGGTTGTTACATCGTGTGCAGCAAATCCTGTGTGGGTTTTCGACCTGGGCAGGAATTGCAAAATGCCACCGGCAAGCTAGATGAGGTTGGCACAACATCTTCCCATGTCAAATCTTGCATAGATCTGTGATGTCAAGAGTAATATCATTTGCCGGACCAACATGATAGCCATGTTTGCCAAAAAGGTGGTCCATGAGTTGGAGTTGCAAGCCGCAGAGACGACCCGTGTGGACACCGAATTGGAGAGCCTTGTGCAGCATTTGTGTCGGCTTGTCTCAGACAAACGCGCAACAGTTTGCCATCAAAAGCAAGGATGGTTTCGTGGCAAATGCGTGAGGCCAAGGACATCAATCAATTTGTGCGCCAGTTGTGTGAGTCACCCGGTATCAGGGGATCAGCGTGATGCCTTTTGCACTGAAACAGCTTCTTAAAAATACATACCTCACTCCAGATCTTCCTTCACCTGTCAGCGCAGATTGTTGGACAACGTTTCACGACGTGCACGGATATGCAGGAGGCGGAAGAGTCACTGCAGCTGCAGTTGCAACATCTTCTTGCAGAACAAGAACGGCTGGAGACAGAGCGGCTAAGACGCGAGGAGCGACTTCGACGGTAGTAGCATGCGTCATCGCATATGCAGCCAGAACCTCACGCATATAGACATGGAGGAGCTGCGGCGTCAAGAAGTTGAAAGACAAAAGCGTGAGGAGGATTTTTATTCTCAATCCCGTTCGCATTTGCCGAGTTCTCCTTGTTGTCTAGATTCCACTCAGCGCATTGTTTCTGCATGCATGCTGTTGTAATCGTGACATATCGCAATTGTGTAAGTGCTGCCAGTCGGAAGGAGATGCACCGAGTTGCAGAGGAACAGCGTCGCCAAGAGGAAATTCGGCAACAAAGGGCCGAGCTGCAAAGACTTGAAGAGCTAAAGCAAGCTGAAGAACGCCAACATGCCCTGCAACAGCAGGAGCTGCGTGACATGGAACATGCTGAGACCTTGCGCAATCAAGCCAAGCGGGAGGCGGAGAACTCTCAGCATGTAGAGGGGCCGCAGCAAACCGATGGTTTCTTCCAAGAGGAAATGGAGCAGGGGAAGCTTGAAGAGAAGAAGGAGAACGAAGAGGAGGAGAAGGGGGAGAAGGAAGAGAAGGACGACAAGGAAGAGAAGGAGGAGGAGACGCAGCGCAACATGCTTCCAGTCCCATGGGAACAATCAGAAGGTGACACTGTACACCAACAAGATGAAGGCGTTCTTTTAAGGCGACAGTGCGAGTTGAGTGGGCCAGAAGTGCTCTGCCAACCTGAAGAGGTTCCGCAAGCGGACTCAGAATCAAAGTCGGGGGAGTGGCTTCCCGAAGAATGTGCGACCAAAAGCGAAGAAGAACAACCGCGCTATCCGAACTTGGCACAGGAGATTGAAGATCAGCATGGGGCCCTCCACCACCCGGATCAGCCCCAACCAATGGATTGTCAATTGGATTCCCAGGTCTTCGAGGCGAAGGTCATCAATCCACCACAGCAGCAGCACGGCAAAAGAATGATGATGCATGCGCCTGCGCAAGAGGCACGGGTTTCATGTTCTGCTTCACATTTTGATGTGCTTCGATCTTTCCTGCATTTCGGGTCTAGGAACAGATCAGTGCAAACCCCAACCTTGTTTTGCCCGAAACAGGAGCCTGGTGGTCGTGAAGTATTGGAGCTGCCGCGGGTGGCCCTGCATGGCTTTGAGCCAGTCAGAATGGTGAAGGAGGTGATTGCGTCTCAAAAGCCGATAGCAGATTTATCTGAAGAGCTGGGGGCTGCTACTTCACCATCTGATGGCAAGCCGCAGGACCAGTGTTCAGAACTCACCGAAATCGATGCTGCAACAGAGCCTCTGCATTCAGATGAAAGCCCACCTGAGCAACTAAGCCGGGCCGAACCCGAATTGGACCCACCTGGGCAGCCTGCCCAGCAGCCACTCGCTGCACGCCTCATGCAGTCACCGCATCTCTCCCCCAAGCAGCGAGAGAGACAGTGCGGCGAGCTGTTCCATGAGCTTGGGGTCAGACTCGGGCGCATCAGCCAGAGTGCTCAGGACGTTACAGCAGCCGTTCTGATGACCTTCGGTGTTGCATTTTACATCCCCTGGAGGAGAAGCGTCCTCCTCCAGAGGTGGGCCCGGTTGCTTTCTTTGAAAGCCACAGCATTGGAACTAAGTAACCACTTAAACTTAAACCGCACCGCTGTCAGGCCGCAGCCCCCTCACTGATGGCAGCTGAGGTGCGCATGTGAGTCTAGGATGTATGATTGAACGCACATGTGAAAAGGATTTGCGCCCCGCAATGCAACTGTTTATCGTTGCGCGTGGTATGCGTGGTGTAGTTCTGAAATACTGTCCCCATGATGCAAGAACGAGTCCAGAACACAGTGGTTTCGAGTGCAGAAAGCCAAGATACCCACGATAGACCAAGCCCATTTTGCTGCAGAACGAAAGGCGCGAGGCCTTTGGGCTGTGTTAGCGACACGAGCCATTCGTCCTACACATCGTTTCTGATGCCGAAGGGAGGAGTCTTCTGACAGAAATGGGAGCACGAATGGAACAGTTAGACAAAGACCCCAATATGCGTGTTGGTCTCGCCGCATGGCCTCCCAGGTAGACAAACAATTGTACTTGGGAACGGGGGTCGAACAAGAACAACAGGCGTCGGAGTGATTGGGGCCGGTAAATCTTTGGCTTTGTATACGTGAACTCCTAGTTTCGAAGGATGCGCATTTTCTTTACTTGGCTTTCCTGTGGTGCGGCTTGTGGCCAGTGCAGGCAGCTTTGCGGGCTGCAGCTGCGCAGCGTATGGCCTCTCTGCCGATTACAGAAGCAGGTCTCTATCACGTGTAGCCTTTGAAGGACTTACACCATGACTCGCTGCACAGATGCTTGTTCCTCTGAGGCCAGCGTCCAGCAACTCCTTGGAGGAGCAACTTGGCGAAGATTGGCCCACCTTAGCGTTTGCAAGGCGTCCAGGCAGTCTCGTGTTTGTTCGGCAAACTGCAGGGTGCCTCTTCTGCGCAGTCTCTTTACACGCCTGGGCCCTGAGAAATGGCAAGTTGCAGCACCTTCAGGAAGTCTGTGCTGTTACCGAAGGTTTGATTCGCGCTGCAGCACCTGGCTTAGGCTTGCGACTTCCTTGGTTCATGAAGCGGGATGTTTGTACCAGAGCAACCTACCCACAGCAACAAACCCTCAAACCACTTTCAGCCATGCCTCTTCCCACACCACCACCCACCCCAAACAGCCACATCACCGTCCTGAACCTCCACACATCAAGCCCGGCTGCCTGTCGCCATGACGGGCTGGCCGCTGCGATGCTGGGAGGGACTCTGCAAGCGGCTGCAGTCGAACAGGGTCGAGGAAGCCTTGTGGGAGCTTTGCATCGGGCAGCAGTTTGTGCGAAGGGTAAAAAGGTAGAGTGGCAGATTCCGACTGCAGCACCAGGACTTCTACCAGCTCGACACAGCGCTGGGAAGCGGTGCCTTCTGCGACTGGGACGGTTTGATGTCATGGGGTCATTTTTTGGCAGCTTCCAGTTTCTGTCCCATCATATGCAGGAAAGAAGATGGAAAGATATGGACATCATTGCAATACGTGTACATGTAGCCGTAGAGTGCAAGTTTGATGTGCTCCACCCAGGCACGGTTTACCTGGCAACCTGCAAAAAGACATATGACAAAGCAGCCGCAACTCGGACGCAAGGGAGCTGGGCGGGCGCACATGTAAAGGCTTGGCCAAGGTTTGGAGACCTTTGCTTCTGCCATAGCCAAAATCGCGTTTTCATTTTTCTTTGTATATCTTTTTCTCTCTTCTTCGCTCTCTCTCTTCCTCTCTTCATTCTTTCTTGCTGGAATCAGGGGCGCGTCTTCGAGTCTGATGTTTCTTGCGCTGGCACTTATTCCTGATATTGCTTCTTGTAGTGGGATCCGCCCCACGTGCCCGTTGAATCACCATCTCTTGCTAGATTTGAAGCTATGGCCGCGCCTTGCGTCATGCTTCACCCGTGCGATGGCAGCACCTCACAAACCTCACAACCTTGCATGCAACATTCCATCGTCTCTGGCCAGGTCAAGCTTTTTAAGCGGACCAGCGCCAGCCAGGACGTCAACGGAGCGCAGCTTGGTGACCAAAAAGTTTTTCCTGCACCAAGTCTGGGGTTGTGCTATGGTCCAGCTGTCTTCAACAAATCGCTTTAATCTCGACGCAGCGCAGGCGAGAGGCTTTCGAGACTGAGAGAAACATGCTCGAGTGCCTTTGCCGAAATTGAGCTCTTGTCACTTCTTGTTCCATGCTTGTCTCTTTCTCGCCCGATGCATTGGTAATAACCTCCAGTCTGTGCGAACCTGGGCAGGGGCATCCCAAAGCCTGGGCTTAGTTATATTGTTTAGGTCCGGCAATATACCTTGCAGAGCGCTTGGTGGCTCTTTTGTTGGTCTGCAGTGATGGCGTGGATTACTTCAAATGCACATGCCAGGTCCGTGCGCCATCCAAACGTCATCGCGCCTTCTCTCATAGAATGGGACATGGCCTGAATGACACCTTAAATCCTAAGCCCTACAGTGCATGTGTGAGTTGCTGACCGGAATGGAACCTTGCGCTGCTATGCTAGCGATGCAAGTGGCAAAAATCTATAGAGCGGTGTGAGTCGGAACTATGCTCCCAAGCACCTCAATGTTTCTGACCGGGGCTAGCGCCTGCATTTTGCAACCAGAAATGGCTGGAATCAGAGCATCCCAAACGTACCAAACTCAGGAACTTTTGAATTGGTTCTTGGATGAGAGTGCCTGGCACTTGGTTGTGGAGGCTTTGAGGGTATCTTCGTGCCTGAATAGTGTGTGAAGGGCACTCTTTCGCCGGATTTTGAAGATGTGCTGGTAGGTGCATCGCAAAATGAGTTCGGATGTAACGTCCAGTGCTGGGTTCATCGCTGGGCAGAAGATGTTGCAACTGCTCCGCTGGGAGTGTGCGCTTGTTGCGGAACACTGCTGTGCGGATGGGACGTGTTTTCTCCATTGGGAATGGCTGCACGTCTACAAGCCTTAGCTTTTCTGTCAGGTTTGTTCTGGAGGAGAGCTGCTTGACAAGGTGGGCCTCATATGATATCATGTGGAATCCGGTTTCTTGCTCAGATGATGGAATAGTCAGTTCATTACATCCTGGATACTTGTAACATGTAGGAGTCTGTAGGAGCGTGAAGGATGTATGACTTACGTGACACTGTCGGTCGGGTACGGGGCCGCCGCAGGTGGTGGAAGCCGGAAGCCTCACAGAAAGGCAGGCCTCGATCTTGATGAAGCAGCCCCTGGGACAGTGACAATGCGTAGGCGGTATGATTCTTTGGCTGTGGCAGATGCTGCCATCTTTGAGCTGAGGATTTGCGACCCTTTGGCGTTCCTGTGCCTGGACAAATTAAGGACCCTCATGCAAAAGAAACGATCTTCTCAGTGTAATTCTGCGCAGTAGCGCAAAGCCTAAGCAAGCTGCCGCTGTGCTATTGGCAGTTCGAAGCCTTCGATGCCTCAATAACTAAACCCAAAACCCTAAAGCGCAAGCCCTGAACCCTAAACCTGAGGCATCAGCAGCACGTCTGTCACAGGGACTTGAAGCCTGAGCACTTTCTCTTTGCCCGGCCCGGGCCGCTAGAGGAGGTGCCGCTGCTGCTTGGCCCTGCATGGCATTGCGAGCAGGTTCAGCAGGGGAAGTTGTGGCCAATGTGCTTCAGATGAAGCATGATAATCTTCATAGGCTCGAGCTTTTCACATGTCAATGTTACATTTCTGTAGGTCTCCACTGAACTCATCTCCTCACAAAATGGCCAACTGTGTAGGAGACTCAGAGAACAGCACTCTCACAGCAACCAAGGAAAATCATCGACTTTGGTCTTGCGTGTCGGTTCGAAGAGGGCCAAATCCTGAATGATTCGCCAGGCACGCTTGTTTGCTTTATCAGGATTTGGTCGAGCTTTGGAGCGTTTGTGTTGGCAATCAGCTTGATGTTTGTTACTTGCCAGTGTCACAGGCACGGTGATGTATGTGGCACCAGAGACCTGACCTGACGGAAAGTTGGAAGAGGGGCCTTCCGATGTGAGACAAGTTGAATTGCAAAGTGCAGAAACATCGCCTTCTATGCGAGCATTTTCATCCGAGGAGATCCTGACAGCCAACTATCAGCCGCCTGCCTGCGACCTTTGGAGCTATGGCGTTGTGGCGTGGCCTGGCGTCATTGAGGCCTGGTTTGGAGGCACCCAGGATCAGGCCGTGAACCCTAACCTTGCGCCGCAAACCTCAATGTTGTCCCATGCACAGTTCTGAAGATACAGCAACGAGCAGTGAGCTTAGTTCTTGCTCGGCGTTTTGAGCAGGCCGTGCATAGGACATCATGGGACCATAGCATGATTCGAATCTTACCGCCAAAACATGATAACTCTTGTGCTCAGCCCACCTAGGTATCTCACGATGAGTGGAATAAGCCCTTTCGCCACTCGTCGTGCTTAGTCAGGAAGACTCGGCCAAGGGTCTAAGGGAGGCGTTGTCTTTTTCTTGCTTCGCATGAGCCAAGGATGCTGACACCGCTAAACAGGTGGCACGAAACGTCAAAAAGGCCAACTACAACTTTGATGTGGCATGGTCGCACGGACTATCAGTGTTGTCCTCGCGCACTGTTTGTCTGACATCCAGCATGGAGAGGTGCACCGATCGATTCTCACGGCATAAACGGCTTCCCTTGCCATCGCAGCCCATGCAGCCATATGCATTGCCGCACCTTTCAGGATCCTTGCTGGGGCCATGTCTCCGAAGAGGGCAAAGACTTCCTCAGACGGCTGCTGCAGCCGCTTGAGCTCGGATACGCTAGGTATGGACAACTCGAGTAGTGATAGCGACAGATAATGATAGTTTTTTGAAGGACTAGGCTTAAGGCTGTTTAACGTTTGAGGCAGACTTGATGTCTATGTTGTACAGTGCACTACATTCTCTGGCTGGAGTCTGGTTCAGCCAGCAGAGTTTGCGAGTAAGTTGCGAACCGAGGACTCTTTGCATGGGCAAGGTGTGCTGGTTGCACTGGGCTTGCTCATGGCTACTGGCTCAAGTTATTTTCAAAGCCTCCAAAGCAAAGCATCACTTGACGCTGCCATGGCCCGCCTGGCTGCATCTCTCTTGGCTGCTGCCGTCCTTGGCGCCGCGGAGCCTCTGCTCTTCGAGCCGGACCCCTTTGCCAGCCCGCAGCTGCGAGGAGCCGATCCTTTTGGCGACACCGAGGAAGAGCCGGGGCGCAGTGACAAGTGGCTGAGGGACATCAGTAAACGGGCCAAGAACCACTTCAAGAAGTTGCTGCAGCCATTGCAGACTCCGATTGTGCAGGAGTACCAGGTCCTCGGCATCCTTGATGGATATGTGAACTACACGATGCAGCTTGTTGCAAATGCCACGGGCCATGAAGTCATTTGGAACCGAAGTGCGGGGCGTTTCCTGGCCGAGGAGCGGCGTGAGTTGAAGCAGGAGCTGCCCCCGCGAGCGCGCTACATCAACAAGATTTTGATCTACATGAACAAGGAGATGGACGTGGTCTGGAACTTCAAGACTATGATTGACAGGAAGCGCTGGGGCGTTGGGAACGTAATCACTTCCTCGCCCTATGGCCCACATGGGGAGCACCCGGAGCGCTGGCGAGCTAATGGCTCGTGGCCACTTCCCAGGGCCAGGCCGAACCAGACCCTCCTCCTCCAGGCTGCTCAGGGGACCTTTGTAGGGAGTTGAGAACAGAGGGCTTCAGATTTGTGGATACAGGATTTAAGCATGTGGCAATGAATTCCCTACAGGAGCAACCAACCAACCTGGTCCTGCGCATCAAGCCAGACGTTGACGAGCATGAGAACAAGTATGCACAGCAACTTCAGGCTGACTACGAGTCCTTGGTCTATAACATCAATGATGCAAGCCAGAAGATGAGCGACCTCCGTGCCCGGCTGTGGAAGATGGAGGACTTTGCCCACCAATTCATCGTTCTTCCGTCCGGAGTGTGGAACAAGATTGATGCGAACTGAGGCTTATTGCATGAGCTCACTTTTGGTGCTTGGGAGAATCTCCCATGTTTTCCATGAGGCAGGGTGAATGTTCACTGAGCTCAATTTTGATCACCCTGGTGTCCACAAGAGGCACACTTAATCATCTTAATCCACAAAATTGGAGATGTAAGCTGTCTAAGCTGATTTAAGGTGCCCAGTCCTGATGTGCCTGTCACCGTTCCAGACTAGGCCTGGACTGAAGGTATCAATCATGCCAAAGGACAACAGATGCGCAGTCAAACCGACAAATGGGATTTCAGCTGCGTTCCTGTTCGGATTGTGGGGAGCGTAGATGTTATGACTCCTGGGGAAGCAGAGCTTCGTCAGACATTTAGAATAGAAGTCACCACTATCATGACAACTACAGCAACGACCTGAAGCTTTCACCTCCAGAAAGGGTAGCAAATGCTTTAGATCTTGACTAGGGTGGCAACGGTCTCAGTACATGTCAGTACTAATGCTAACTGCTAGCTTGTTTGGATGTTTTTGGATTGTTCACACAGAGTCGTATTCCGAGGAAGGATGTGCAGCTGCGCCTCACAGCAGAGGGCGCCCAGATGCACCGCTGGATATCCGAAGCCGCACCTAGTGCCAAGGTGCCTCCAGCCGCTTAGGGATCTTGCATTCTTCGGAATTCTGCGAAGTTATAGTTGAAGTGAGGACTTTCTGGCCTTCGTGAGTATGTAGGGTCTTTGCAAACTCCTGGCATGCTTTCTCACGCTTGCCTTCGTTGATCCTCTAGCGCTTCAAGTTTTTTTGCGGACGATGTGATCTCGGCCTATGATCTTTCCAGAAATGCGTGTCAAGTAGCGATGCACCTTCGCAAGGTTGCATTAATTAAGTCTTCGTCTTCTTTTGTGGACGGGTAAGGGCAGCATAGTTATGTGCCTGGATGCACCTGATGCGAGAGAGAGAGAGAGAGAGAGAGAATGTAGGTGACAGGTAAGAACCTCAGAACAAGCAACACAACACGGTTTCGATGTGGTGGGCAAAACCGAAGTAAACCCAAATTGGCAACTTTTGGCCCCTAGTAAGGTGTATAGGTGTTAAGCCCCCACTCTGCAACAATGAGGGGTAGTAAGACCTGTCAGCCCAACACGGGCTGGGCATTGAAACCCGGAGGGGGGAGCAATCCCGCCTCCATAGCCTGAACGAAAGAAAGAAAGAAAGAGAGAAGGGAGGACCGCATAAGCCCTGCTGCGACACGAGTGTAACCCCCGCTATAGCAGGGAGTAGAGGCATCCTGCGCTGAGGCGGAGGCCCTGCCCATGATGGACCAGTTGGACAAGTGGATCAAGGAGGGCCTTTCCTTATCTGATGTTCGCAGCCCCAGGTGAGACTTCAGCACGTATTTCTGCTGATTTCCGTGGTTGATATGCCCCCGTGTAGAGTTAACCAGAAGGGATTGGGAATCATTCTCCTAGTCACCTCATGTCTGTGGTGGAAGAGAGAGAACGAAGGACAACCGCAGATCCAGAGAGCTGTACAAGGTTTACTTCCCTGGACAGTAGATCTCCAGGCCCGGACAGTTTCAGGGTGCTCGGTTTCCCACAAAAGGGTACGAGGAGGATTTTGGTGCTTTTTCTGGCTGCCTGTCGGCAGGCGTCTTCAAATTCTGCTTTGGCAACATCAAGTCATTTAAACAGTGCTGGTGCGTGCACTGCCTGGCAAAGGAGGCCTTGCAAATGTGCATGTGCCTGGGAAGCAGGCCAATCCCAATCAACATAGTGTGCACGTACCCCGAGCTTGAGGGTTGAGAGGCGGCGTTCAGTTACCGAGATGTGAGAAAGACATTTCGCTAGGCACTCTGACGAGCATGTTGAAGAGCTAGCAGAAAGTTCATAGCCAGGTTTGAACTATTGAGTATAGTAGTTTCC